AGACGTCGCCACGAGTCAAATGCCCAACGCTCAGAAATGACAGACGTGGATGCTATCAGACATTCTTAACGGGGTTTGAGAGCAGGATGGCTGAGAGGGCGCTTAGAAGGATATTGATACCCGTCGTAACTTATCATAAGGAACTTGTCACGGGCTGCGGGGCCCACGAAGCGACGAGAACAAATTCGAGTATAGTAGCGAGGAGCTGAGCATGCAGGCCATCGAAAACTTACGTTGCATAGTGAAGCACCGTTGGAGTCATCGGAGCGGCAAACAAAGCGTTGACCTTCAGCCGCAACCGGAGAAGTGTACACTAGCAACACTGGTGTACACGGCGGCGGCCTTCGGACAAGGCGCGAGCAATAAGGAGTTCGCAGAGCAACCTGCTAAAATATTTCAAGATAAATGTTCAATGAGCACTTTTCATGTCTAGGGTTACATCAGCGGTGAGCAAACAATGGGCCGCGGGCCACAGGCTGGCTGCTGAGCAGTATTTTGCTGCCCTCTGCACGGCTTCACTTCTTATTTGAAGGTCTAAATAATAGTTTTTAACAAAATGGGACTTTGGCTTATACGCTATTTTTCGTTAAAAGTTTGCGGTAAGCGTGTTCAAAATTAACATGATTTAATTCGTCGAGTTCCATTCTTCATCTGCGAAGCCCCCTCCAACCCCCTTCTCAAGTTGACATGCTTTCCTCAGCTATATCAGCTTCAAGCAACAAAAGCTTGCATGAAGCTGCAACAAAAGGTTGCGTGAAAACTCAGTGGCGTTCACATTTTCCGCTCATTATATCAAAGAAAAACAAAATCTTCAAACTTTTATTACCTAAGATAGTATACGAAAACCGAATCAGTGTTCAGACTGCTCGATAATTTTGGCGTATAGGGAGGGGGGGGGATAAACAACAAGAGGGAAGGCAGGGAGGTTAACCAGGCACAGGCCCGGTTTGCTACCCTACGCTGGGGAAATAGGAAGGGGGCATAAATGTGAGAGAGAGAGAGGAAAGAGAAGAGAAAGAGAGAGAGAAAGAAAAAAAGGCGGATTGTCAGTCAATCGGCTGGCGCGTATGCAGCGGTGGCCCTACACAAAAGTTAAAGGTGGTCACATAGGCCTGTATTCCTCAAAAAGCGCAAGACAGCTTTGACTGCTTTTTTTAGCCGACGAAAGGCGATGATGGTGTTCCAGTAGCATCTGCACAGAGAGTGGCTGATTGTCCAATTGTGTCCGAAAGCTTCTGTCTTTCAGAGGCAAATCGAGGGCAATGGCATTGATATCAGATAGTCGATGTCTTCTTTGGTGCAGCAGACGTCGCATTCTGCATTGTCGGTCAATCCGATGAGGGTTCTATATGCTTTTGTGAAGGCAACCTCCAACCAAAGGCGACAAAGAAGTGAAGCTTCACGTCGACGAAGTCCGGATGGAGGTCGAAGTTCCAGTCGAGGGTTTATTTGGTATAGTCTCGTATGTCTTATGCTTGGGGTGTTCCACTCCTGGAGACTCAGACTACGTGCCAGGTGACGAAGTTGCTTTGCAGCGTCAGTCCTTGACAAAGGAATCGGAAGGGTGTGTTCTTCTTTGTGCGATGTGCGAGCCGCGTTGTCTGCGGAATCATTGCCACTGATCCCCCAATGGCCAGGAAGCCACTGAAACTTGACCTCGTGGCCTGTTTCTGTGACGTGGTGAACAAGCTTGACAACCTCGTAAGTTAATTGTTCATGGCAACCTCGTCGAAGGACTGACTGCATGCTCTGTAGGGCTGGTTTTGAGTCGGAAAACACAGCCCATTTACTCGGTCTTTGGGATTTGATGTACTCTAGGGCGCCACGCAAAGCCGCAAGTTCTGCCGCTGTGGACGTAGTGACATGTGACAGTTTGATTCGCAGAGTGATTTCTCTAGCTGGAATGACCACCGCACCAGCAGAACCAGACGCTGTGGTTGAACCATCGGTGTATATGTGCACGTGGTTGTTGTACATTTTGTGCAGATGGCTCAAGCTGAATTGTTTTAGGGCTGATGAAGGCAAATTTGATTTTTTCTGTATTCCTGGAATTGAAACACGTACTTGTGGAAGTGTCAGGCACCACGGAGGATACACCAGCTGCTCAGCAGGCGTAAAACCTGACGTAAAAGACACACGATGAGCACAGATAATTGCAGTAAATTTCGTGCGGGGCCTCTCAGTAGCGAGGGTTGCCAAGTGGTGGGAAGGATTCCTAGCATGTTGCCTGAGGTACGTACGCATCGTTTTAATGGTGATATGCGTCATGATCGAGTAGTCCTGTGCAATGGCAATTGTTTCAGCTGTCGATGCGCAGCGGGGTAAACCAAGGCATATCCTAAGCGCTTGGGCTTGAATATTTTGGATTGTGCGCAGGTTCGTTTTGCACGTGTTAGATATAACAGGTAGGCTATACCGCAGGAATCCAGTAAATAATACCTTGTACAGCTGTAACATAGTATACATCAAGAATAACGGAATGAGCTACGTTGCTGAAGTAGTATGAAATATTCAGGATGTATGATGCTTCAGGTTATGGCATTGTGATATTTTTCATTACTGAAACTGTAAACTTGTGGGAGATTGCCTGAAAGAAAATGTGCAAATTACATGAAGCCTGGTGACAATTGCAATATTGCGATAAGTAAAAATTGCAGTGCGAGTGGTAGTTCTTAGTAGCCGTAGATTCTGTAGCAGCAAAACACACTGATGGACACACGAACAGGCTTTAAGCGCTGACACAGATAGAAATCCAGTTAAAGCGGGGAGAATGATACTCATCTAAGACGCGACTGTTAGTAAGATCATAACTGGGGTTATTTTTTTTACTCTCACAAAAAGAGAACAACTATAGGCTACTGAAACTTGTTTACTTCTGTTCACTCTAAATTTACTACCAATATATCCATTCACATTACTTCACACCCTTACTAATACAAGGATTGACTTCACGCTTGCATTGCACAGCTTTGTGATAATGAGTGGTAACCATACAGTGCAAAACTTCTTGGCGGAACTCTTGGTGAATGCACTTACATATATTTTTTTTTATTTTTTGCAGTTTCTCTTTACGAAGGAGCCGATATGGACACACACTACCTCTGCAAACACCAGAATAAGATGCTTAGTGGACAACGTTAACGCAATAGAGAAGAGATCTGTAATCTTCACACGATCTTGTTACAGCCAGGGACATAAGTAATGTATACACTCTAAAAAGTTTCTGGTATAATGGCGCAGTTACGCCGATTATAGCAGTTTGCTCCCCCAAAATACGATATGATTCTGAAAGTTTCCACACGGCATAGCAAATAGGGACTATTCTCTCCTTGTGGAAGAAAGTTCCCTCTTTTTGGAGTAACTGTAGAAATGTTCGCGTCGTGTGCAAACGACCCGTTGTTGCATGCATAAACTTCTTTCCTTCCAAACGGGCCCATAGCGTGGCGTGGTGTAATAGTGTCTGCGCATGCCTATGTATTGAGTGATCGTGAGTTCGTATCCTGTGTGTTTGTCGTAAATTTCCTTAAATGTTTTTTTAAACGGGATGCTTGTACACTGATCTAACCGTGTGCCTGCACGCACTTCGAAATATTGGTTGAATCAACCGAAATTCCACTTTTTTGGCGAAAAATAACTATTGCTTCCTTGAGAAGTAACCACGAGAGAGCGGAGTAACTCCGCAGTTACCTCTGATGTGATGCGATGGGTGTGGGAGGTTAGTTGCTGCTCTAAAAGAGCAATATTCATACCCCTTTTCCTCTTTTACCTCTTAGAGTATACTGAGCATCTGTGGAAAAAGAAACAAATGCACAGGCATTTCTATATTTGCAGGGTGTCTAGAATATTCCAAGGAACTTTTGACAAGTTTCGAAAAAAGCATATGGACGTGACACCTAGAGGTATGTTCAATGGGAAAACAATTATTTCAAATCATTAGATGTCGAACATCGTGTTGGGTTCCTCCACTTGTATGGTCTACAATAAATACGCAAACATACATTGAAAAACCTCCTCATTGAAAGTGCAATCAACACATATGTTGAGACGAGATTTATAGTACAGCTATGGCACATCATGAAAACGCGGGAAGATAGTGTGGGTTTTAATTGCGGTCTACAGATTACAAGCACTGGCATGTTTCTACATTAAAAAAAAACACTCCTCCGCATTATTGCTTCGAATAATAAACACACAGATTCCATGAAACCGGAATTCTGCAGTGGCGGACACTATTGAGAAAAAAGCTTAGTTCTTTCAGTGTCAATATTCGGCGGTACTTGTCGACTTTATGTTTGTCGACTTGTCGTACTTGTCTTACTTTTCGACCTATTATAATGGCATTATGTTTGTCTTATGATGCACCAAATGTACGCCAGAACTCTCACGGCATTTTGAAGAAATGATTGCATCCTTACACTTTACAAGCATTGTCTAGTGAGGTGTAAGGGCCAACGCACTGAAAGCAGGATTCAACTTTTCAGCATAACTTCTGCCACCGTGGCCATAAACGTCTTCCTTGTTGTAGTCCCGACCTACAGTGCTATAGCCATCTTGGTGTGTCTGACAAATGTCACCCCGTTCGATGGCCTTCTTACTGTTTCAGATTCATAGCCACGTTTACCAGTAACTGGCCATTTGCGAAATTTCAGGCAATCAAAACTCCCAGTGAATTATCTTTGAGCGTAATGTTGAACCTCGTAGGTATATTTGTTTCGATAGTACGTCATGGCAGAAGGTACACCTAATCTTCTAGAGTAAACGACAATCTTTTTGACTAACACAGCCTAGGCACAAAAATTACTGCCTCCAGGCAGCCACCGAAAAATAGCCTTACTGAGTAATGGAATATAACGATCTCTACTAACAGTGTGATGAATATACGAGCTGTTCAATAGAATGAGGATCAATCTATTTTTCACCACATATCTTTCCTTGTAAGTCAACCATCATACTTTTTCTGATACGCATCTTGCCATACCCATATCTCACTTGGTTTTTTAAGGGAGGGGGTGTCAGTTAGCAGTTCCAACAGGCACCTTTCGTGGACTCAATACAGAAATAACGCAGTTGTTTGAGCCGCCATTAAATGACATAAAACGGCAATTACTCGTAGAGCTATGAAGATATCGTTGCTCATTGGACAGCATTTATGAAATCTAGATGAATTAGTCTGCTCACACAAAATTGTACTATAGGTACTCTTTATTTGTGCATATATATCTCTGCAAAGCTTGCATGCTGTGTTTTGTGTCACCTGCATTAGGCATCAAATTTCACAGCTGAAAGACCACATCAATTTTAAAATACCGATGAGCTTGATACACCGACAAACTTACCTGTGCACATGCCGCCGGAAGTGCTGTTCCTAAAGATAAAAATTGCGTTTTCGTTGCTTCTGCATATTCGCGAAAATTCAATAGAGATAGTAGGAATCACTGGAAAAGCGGAGATTCATTATGGGTGCTTAGCATATTGAGCTATACCTTTTTCTGCAAATCTTCTACTGGTAAATAATTTGTAAAAGTCATTTTTGTTGTCAGATCCAGGTGTCTTCTATGTGCTATATTTCTTGATTGCATGCAATGACGACACTGACCCGTTTACTCGATCGAAATTATGACATGCCAAAACTGCATCTGAATCATTGCTGCATTCCTGACACGTTTCATTTCCTAAGGTACTCGGCTGCTGACTCGCAGGTCGCGGGATTGAATCCCGGCTGCGGCGGCTGCATTTTCGATGGAGGCGAAAATGCTGTAGGCCCGTGTGCTCAGATTTTCTGCATGTTAAAGAACCCCAGGTGGTCGAAATTTTCAGAGCCCTCCACTACGGCGTCCCTCATAACCATATGGTGGTTTGGGGACGTTAAAACCCCACATATCAAATCAATCAACACGTTTCATTTAAAGATTTATGTGTTTCTATCAACTAGGCTATTAGGACATGTAACATGTATCTTCCAATAATGCCATAATTGCTGTACATTTACCCAATTAGACGTGTATACTGCTTTGTGTCTTGCATGAATTACAAGTACTTTATTACACGTATTTGATAACATACCACGTAATATCTAACTTACAGGCATGGGCACCTACTTTCAAGAGGACATGCTCTATATGCGTAGTGATAAAGGCTGTGCTGTGATTATGGTCACATATCCTTTTTGCGGTTTGTAGTGCTATTTTTACACCTTTTATGAACAAATGACTTTAGGCTTTGGGCTCGTCTGCGTGTCATATCATGTCGTCATCACGTTTCATCACTGTAAAACCAATATGGACTCTTCATCTATCTTTTTTTGCGTGCCTTGCATACGAAGAGGAAAGGAACGCAGAGACACCATGCGTTCAGACATTCGGGATGTTCGGAACACAAAAAGAGGAAAATCTACAATAAACACTCAGGCACAAAAGGTACAACGTTAACACAGAGCACCAGCTACACCAATGATTACGATAATACAAGTTGAAGGAAGAAAGTTCAGAAACCGCAGGGCCCGATAAACCTTATATGGTAAACGACAGACGCTGAGGCGCAGAGAAGAACCTAGATGACGAAAGGCGATAAAGCGCGAGGATGCGTGTCAGTGTTTGACGCCATGGCGACGGTGCTGCTTGACGGCACTGGTGAAGATGCAAAACTTTCGGAAATTTTCAGCAACCGATAAAAAACTTGTGCTTTCGCAATTTTTACGAAATATTGAAAAAATATGCAAAAGAACAACTTTTTGAGCATATGGCAATAGTTTATTGCCAAGTGTGAAAATAACTTGCCTTATGTAAATAACAGAAACAAAATGTTTTTTTTCTTTTAATAAACAAATATGGCACTCAACATATCGAAGGCAGGCCACAAGCATCAGCACAAACTCATTTAGCTCTCTGTGAATAGGTGCGGCTTCCTAAAATTGTTACGGCGGTTACAACAAAGAACCTAAAGTTTTCTATTTTGTCGTATCTTCGATTAAGAAAACATTGATCAAGATGGTATAGATATGAAGTTCAAGCTCATATTCAGAGTAAGCATCGCTGACTTTATCTGTAGCTTTTTTTATCATGCTAAGATGTCGTATTAAAAAAAGCGTAGCTGCTCTTGCAGTGCTCACAGACAGCGAGTCCCCGTTTCCCGCCAATGGTCTTTCCGACAGTGAAGTGGATCCACACGCCGTAAATAGACCCAGCCATTAAAAAATCTGCTTGAATACGGCTTTATAAGCGGACTTCCGTCACATGTCACAGAAGTGTACGAGCGAAAGTCAAAACTGAACAATATTGGGTGCAAAACATCAGAAACTGCCCCCAACATGACCGCTTTCGAACAACAAAGCTACGCTATAGACACAAGCAGAGCTGCCGCTGGAGCATTATGTGATGTCGATAGTGAGTGGCCAGCCGTTGTTTGGTATTTTGGCATTATGTGCTGGCTTTCGGTTTCACTTTCAACGCAGGATGTTGCCTAAGCTTTATTTCTGTACGTTCTACACCACAAAAGTTTGGTCCAATTTTTTCAACTGCACTGAAAAAAAAAACGAGAAAAAAAACGGCATTCCAATTTTTATATTTTCCTGTTTTTATCGTACTTCGCCTCTCTAGGCATGGGTGTGACTGCGAAGGAGTCAAGTCGCTTCGAAGACGCAATGCTCGGTGTCTATACTGGTCATACGAGTATCACCACAGCAGGCATATTTTTCAAAGGCGTCATTTCGTGACTGTAACCACATGGATCATGAAATCGCACTGTTGTGAAATTAGCGAATCATGCGTTCCAGCGATCCCTGCGTAGTTGCCTTCTAGTTTGTAACAGTGCAACTTATTAAGTTGCTGCTAACTTCTTGTTGTGTACTTTTGGACGCCGCACAAACGTATTGAAGACAACTAGCTGGTTATAAGGTGAACTTTCAATACTTTCTGCATGGTTTTCTTCCTAGGAGCGCAAGCTGGTGATTTTCATCAACCGGCACGCGCACTCTTCCTTCCTTTTGCAGTGACATGTTTAAGCTGTCTGTAAAATGAACACTATCGTGCGAAACGCCACAGGTGGGCATGCGGCGCATGTACTGAGAAGCCTCGCTATCAAGTACAGCCGGTGTGAGTGTCGGATGGCGACAAACAGGTGAAAAGGAGATAGAGGGAAAAAATAAAAGAATGAAAATAGGAAGAAACAGAAGTGTTGAGAAGAAAGAGCCAGAGTTATGTCCAAAAATAGAGCGAATATACAAAAATACAAAAAATACCCGCATTGTGTAGGAGAGACAGGAAAAAGCAAGAAACAAACAAAGAAATGAAGAAAGAGACAAAGCAGTAAAAAAAGTACTTTCAAGAAATAAAAGCAGAAAATAGCAGAAAAAAAGAACTCATAATAAATGAAAATGATGAAAATAAAAAAGAAGGAGCTCAGAAGGCGAAAAAAAAAAGGGGGAAGCAATAATTAGTCAGAAATGCTACAAAGAGAAGTAGTTATGAAAAAAGCGAAGGAGAAATAAAATAGAAAATCCTCGAGTAATATAGACCGAAATAGACTGAAACTAATATAAAAAATTATGTGTCGAGTTTCGCCGCCAGCCACAGCCACCGCTAACGCCATACCGCCCATCTACCGGTCAGCGCATTGCTCCTAGAAAAACCAACGTGTGGCGTGCCTCCGACCACCGACCTTTCCACTATAACTGCGGAGAAGCTGACCATACCTGCCGCCGCCGCCAGTACCGTCAGATGGGACTGCATGGTTTTGCCGCAGATGCACCCCGTCCACAGCGGGGGGAAAGGCCCCGCGACATCGCCGACTACCTTGCTGCAGCGCAGTGAATACCCCGAGGATCTTCTCGTTCGCTGTCACATGGCCAGTACAGGTCACCTCAACGCCAGCCGTAAACTGCCGCAGTTTGGGGCTGGTCTCCTAGCCCTCATCGAGAAAACTAAGGGCAGCAATCACTGGAGGTGCGGTTGCTGTATGATGAACTGCCAAAGATCCTCCACCGACGACGACGACGGCACGACGAAACCTCAAGAACCCGCCGCAACATGAACGTTGCCTGGAAATGAATACTCCCGGGCAAGATGATGACTTGATGACGCAACCTAGAAGCAGTGGTACAAATTGCCGCAGCCGAGATCCGACGCCACAATCTAACTTCAACACGAGGAGACGAACTAGCGACATCGACGTCTTCATCGACTGCCACAGAATCACAGCTCTTGTCAACACAGGAGCTGACTATTCCGAAGTTGAAAAGAAAGTTAGGACAACTTGGGAAGACCCCGAAATTCGTACAGCGGGAGGCCACCTAGTTACGCTGACAGGAACCTTCACAGCCAGAGTCACCATTCACCGTAACATTTATGCTGCAAGCTTCGCCGTACTGCAGCATTGCTCAAGAGATGGCATCCTTGGTATAGACTTCTTGAGCCTCCATGGCGCTGATGTAGACCTGAGAACAAAGTCCATAGCACTCTCCACAGAAAAAGCACTGCAACCACACACGTCATCAAGAAGGCACACCCTGAATGTGCTGGAAGACCAAGTCACCATTCCTCCTCACTCCAGCGTCAGCAATTCCGTTGCCACTCAAGAATGAACACACATACAAGGCGTCGTTGAAGGCGACCAACACCTCTTGATCAAGACGATAATTGTAGCACGAGAACAAAACGACGACACAGAGACAAGAAGGACACAAAGGACACTTCGCGTCTCTTTTTGTCTCTGTGTCGTTTTGTTCTCGCGCTATAACAATTGTCATGCCATACCAACTAGCCCAAGCTGCCACACTTCTTGATCAACCGCGAAATTTGCGTCCAAGACGAATAGCCGAGCTGTGAGGAGGAAACGTAAGAGTGATGCTTATGAACTTCAGCAACGAGTACAAGCACGTGAGCAAAGGCACGGTGGTTGACTACATCGAAGAGATACTGGAAGCCAACAATGATTTCGTCCTCACCGATACCGCCAGGTCTACTCCGACGACTGAAACCCTTCAACCAGCATTCGACGTTATCCCGAACCTTCCGATGCATAAAAAAGACCAGCTCGAAAACCTGCTCCTGATATACAAGAACTGCTTTTCGTCGACATCTAGAATTTGACAGACCCCTGTCTTTGTCGTTGTCACGACCTCGTGAGAATATTATATTTCGGCATTGAATGTCGCGCTTGTAAAATAATGTGTATAATAGTGGAACATTCGTGGCTATGCCTTGATCTGCAGCTTTTTATCAGCGTGTTTACTTTCCGATAGATACTTTTGCTATATGGCTATCCAAAGAAGATATAGCATCAGGAGAGGCATAAAAAACTGACACTGATCAATGAAGGATGTATATTCTCTCCTTAATCTCACGCTGTTCTTGCTTGTTTTCTATCCCCTCCCTCGACCTTTATTCTTTCCCCAGTGAAGGTTAGCAAATCAGACGTGCATCTGGTTAACCTCTCTGTCTTTTCTTGCATCCCTCTCTCTCTCTCTCTGTCACACGCTCTGTTTTCATAATCCACTATCTTCTGAAATTTCGAGACATGTAATCGGTTTCTTGACTACCAAGATGCACGAGAAAGATAGTATAACTCAAGCGTAATTATGGGCTCTCACCCGTAAAGTAAACTTAGTGCTGGATTGTTAATCGTAGTTTTATATCTTTACGATCATATAATCGAAACAGAAAGTTTTGTTAGGTTGTGACAATTTCTTTTTTTTTTTACAGGCAGATATGTCATCTATGATCTCCGAGTCAAGAATTCCCACATTAAAAGACCACCACATCCCAAATGCGTTCAGGAATACCTGAAGTACGAGAAGTATGGCAAAGTTATATATGACTCAAGCTGCCAGGGTATACTTGCAGCAATGGGAAAGGCGGGGCTGTACCAACCGAATGATCGTTGTCCGAATCGCGTTAACTGACTGAAACGCGTTTCTACGACATCCGTATTACAAAGAAATCCTAACTTAAAGATGTTTGAAGCCGATGGGCGTTCCAAGACATTATCCATGTGAGCAAACACGAGTATGTATCCAGCAATAAAAAAAAACTACAGTAAGGCTTCGCTCTTGACCGCAAAAGTGTTTGTATAGTTAAGCCTGATGCCTCGCATTATTTGGGGGCTGTGGCTACCTACTCACTGCGTTTTTTTATGACCATAACCACCATAAGCCTTATAGCGCCAATTGAAGGCCAAGGACCTGTCACATGTTCCGCCAATCTACCCCATCGTGTGCTTACTGCGACCACGTTATAACTGCGAACTCCGTACTCTCATCTACGCACGTAACTTCCTTTCTACGCCTCGTGATTTTCCATTCTCTTGGGATACACTCTGTTACGCCAATGTAAAGCGCTTACCTTGCCTACGCTCTACATGCCCAGTCCTTCTCCTCTTTTTACTGTAATAACAATTGTATATACACTTTAGGTGAACTTTCTCCATCACGTTCACGTCCCGTATATGTAACTCTGCGCATATAAACACGAAAGGCTTCAATAGAAATTGAAAATAAAATGCCAAGCACGCAACCTAGGATTCCATCTTACAGCTGCTCCTCCGTAGCATGCTTCCATAGAGTGTTACGCCATGGGCCATTCTTTCTCCAGAATAATAACGGCAGAATGCAAACGCACGCAGCTTTGGGTAGAGTGATTCAAAAGAGTGGGGTGCCACACGTAGTGAAATAAAAATTACACCAGACCTTGGCCATTCTGCATGGTTGCCCACGCTGAGTTAGCATCGTAGAGTTGGCGCCGCACGCTAGTTTTCTATATTGGCTGTAAAGCACAGCTCCATTCATGACTAGTTCACCATGAAACAAGAAGAGCTTCCCGTGGCGGCACAAGGTAGTTGTAACGTTTTATCTCTTCAAGCAGGTGCCACATCAGGAAGGAAACGATATACTTATACATCTGACGCCATGACGAGAATTTGGGACAAAAAGTTAGCGCGAGAACACAAGCCACCCACGAAAAAAAGAAGCATATGACTCAAGCGCTGGCTAACAAACGCTTTATAAAATTTTGCACGCCAATGCACATTTTAAGACGCAAGCAACCTCACCCCGCATGCGAACGCAACAATCGCTTTAAATCGAGATGTGTCAAAAGGATGATATTGTATTAAGAACACGAAGGGATCGGTGCGGGAAGAAATATGTAAAGCAGCAGCAGCAGCAGCAGCAGCAGCAGCAGCAGCAGCAGCAGCAGCAGCAGCAGCAGCAGCAGCAGCAGCAGCGGCGGCAGCGGCGGCAGCGGCAGCAGCGGCAGCAGCGGCGGCGGCGCTGCTGCCGCTGCTGCCGCTGCCGCAACAACAACAACAAGAATAACAACAAAGAAGGAAAAGATGGTGATGATGCTGATGATGATGATGATGATGATGATGGTGGTGGTGGGGGTGGTGGTGGTGGTGGTGGTGGTTGTGGTGGTCGTGGTGGTGGTGGTGATGGTTGTGGTGGTGGTGGTGGTGCTTTGTGGCGCAAGGGCCATTGGGTGGGCAAAGAGCGCCAGTTAATGGGACAAGAGATGGGGACAATGATTGTGATTAGCGGCTGTATAAGGGTCTTGAAATTACTCGCGAAAAGGCGGGTAAAACATAGAAGTAATAAAATCATGAACATGTCGTGAAAAGTGTGTGGTGTTAATGGATGACGAAAGATTGTGATAATGAAAACCACGGTGGAAATGTATGGCATTAGCACAAGTGCCTCGATAGTTCCCACCTTCGCGTCCAAGGGCCTTTAGGCAAGTGCTTTGTTAGGTGTAGCCACCGCAGCGGAGACCTCTCTGGAGAGGTCGTGCTATGAAATGCCCGGGTATATGATATAAAAAGTACAAATATCTCTAAAAAATCAACAATGTTTTATGTGTGAAAAGTGGTTTTCTACCGAAGAACAATGGAGGATGAAGTGATTTCTGCTGTCGGTAAGGTAATGGAAAGTGTTGTTTTCTCAGCGTGTATAATTCTTTACACTGGATTAGAATGTGAAGTACGGTGAGTGCTTCTCCAAATCTATCACACAAAGGTGGATCGCCACCACACAAAAAGAAATGGATGTGTTGTGTGTGCATGCCCTGTTCTTAACCTTCTATTACTTCTATGTCGCGTTATTTTGATACTGGCGGCCAATGACAAAGTTGTGGCTTGATGACATGAAATTTATTACCGGTGTGTGTGTCCAATGTGCCTTGCGCACAACCCTTAGGCTTTCGTTTTAGGAAAGGTTTCAAATTGACTGCAGGAATAATTATCAAAGTATTGGTAGCGGTTTTGTTGACGCATCCAGCTAGCTGGCCCACCAGAACGTTGCCTTGTATTTCGCGGTGTCCTGGCACCCAACAGACTAAAACCTGCTGCTTGGATGAGTAGACTGTGCATAACAGCAAATAAAGCGAGACAAGGACAAGGTTTTTGTGCTTTTTAAGATTTTTCAGAGCTTTTACCACACTTACGAAATTTGTACATAATATTGCCTTCCGTGGTTTTATTTTTAATGTGTTTAGCAGCCACAAGTATTGCATAAGCTTCGCCGGTGAAAATGCTTGTATCAGAGTGCAGGACACCGCCTTCCAAAAGGATGGGCCGATCGCTGCGTACGAGACAGAAGTGTCGGACTTTGAAGCATCCGTAAAAAAACTCAGCAATGTGTATTTATGTTGTAGTTCCAAGAAGTATGTCTGAATATGTGCAATTGACGCGTGCTTTGTAAGCTCTAAGTAAGAGACGTCGCAATATATCGCCTGCCACTGCCACGTAGGCAGGCAAATTGCGGGAGCCATCAGACGATGTTCAAGTGGCACACCAGTTTCCTTCTCTAGGCCCCTAACACGGAGTGAGTAAGACTGTCTCACAGAAATCCTTTTTGAAAGACAGTAGAACTTGACATGTCATGCATTAATTGTCGAATGTGAAGGACGTTCCTTGTCTGCGTTCATTTGAAGATAATATTAAAAGACATGTAACATCTCTGTAGGTGGAGTGACCATTCGTTTGATTCCTCGTACAGGCTTTCCACGGGCATAGTGCGAAAAGCACCCGTAGAGAGACGGATGCCTAGATGATGAGCAGGGTCAAGCATTTTAAGGGCAGTAGGTGTCGCAGACTGATATGCTATTGCCCCATAGTCGAGGTGGGCACGTATAATGCTTCTATAGAAATTCAATAAACACTTTTTGTCACTTCTCCACGTAGTGCGTGACAACACTTTTAGAACATTCATTGCTTTTATGCATTTGTTTTTTATATACTTCATGTGTGGCATGAAGGTTAGCTTGGCGTCCAAGATTAAGCCTAAGAATTGTGTTCGGAATTGTGTTCAGTATTAATAATTGTGTTCAGTCCACGCAGTTGAACATTGGGTTCGAAATGAATGCCTCTCTTCCTGGAGAACAAGACACACGTGCTTCTGTGTGCATTCAGTCGGAACCCATTTTCTACTGCCCGATTGTATATTGGCGTCAATAATTCGCCAGCAATTCTTCAATGGGGCACCTTTCCTGTGTACAGCCTGAAAAATGAAATAGCAGCTGCAGAAAGCAACACATAGCACGATGTTCCGAGATCAAAATAAGTATAGGCTAAACTTTTCGCAGTAAATGAAGCTGCTTAAGGTGTAGTAGCTCTATTTGACAGGACGTGTGTTTGGCACTAACTCAATGCTGAGCATCACTGCAACAGGAATTCAGATTTTTCTACCACAGAAGAAACACATTCAATGACACATACATGTAGAATTTTTCTCATCACGTTTTCAATGATAACTGGTTCATGTGAATCTGTCCTTATAATTATTCATTGATAGTAATTGCTAACACCTTTTATGCTGGTAGTTGGCACCAGGTACTGTGTCTGTTGAAGTAATGGAGTAAACTTCGTGCAAAAGTACGTTGCTGACACAGAACAGCCCGTTATACAGAGCGGTGGTGCTAACCATGGAAAACGGGCTGCTCATCGGCACAAGACTGATATCCTTTAGTTGGAATGGAACTTGTTTTTCTGTGAACACTGATTGAACAAAGCTGCAAATCAAATTAGAAATTGTCTCGTTGAGCAGGAAAGTCTGAGAAATTTGTCAAATGGCATTGGTACAGCAAGAAAGGATATTGATCTATAAAGCATTCTTACAGTACAGTTGTTATGACACTAACTACACCGTGAGGTTTTCCTTGGGGCAGTAATGATAATGAGGAGGCAAAATAATGAAGGAGTAGGTATACGATTCACATAAATGACTGTCTTACAGTGTTGAGAACAAAGGGGATGTCTCCTGTGCTTCTTTTTTCAAAGCACACTAGGAAATAATAATGGAATTGACGATAAATTCAAGTATTACATTGTTGCGGCAAAATATTACTTAGGAAATGATGTTGTTGCTACGACATTGGTGGGGTAGAGGGGCAATTAAATGTGCTCGGTGTGCTATGAATATAGAAAGCCACAGTCTTAATTGCCCTTCATAATGACGCAGTAGATTAGATTGATTTGTGGATTTTAACGTCCCAAAACTACGATATGCTTATGAGAAATGCCGTAGTGGAGGGCTCCGGAAATTTTGACCACCTGGGGTTCTTTAACGTACACCCTAATCTGAGCACACGGTCCTACAACATTTCCGCCTCCATCGGAAATGCAGCCGCCGCAGCCGGGATTCGATCCCGCGATCTGTGGGTCAGCAGCCGAGTGCCTTAACCACAAGACCACCGCAGCGGGGCACGAATTAGATTTAATGACCTCTACCGTGTGGGAATTGACGCTGGCCCGCTGCCTTTGCGCGGGCTTTGCCGCCTTTTCTGCCATTCTCATGTCCCGACATGTCTGCCCTCGTTTGCTGTCTGCCGCGCTGGGAAGGGCGGAGTGACGTTTAACTCCCTCACCCGGTAGCGGATGTTGACTGTGGCGCCGCGCGGGGAGCCTCCCGAGAGGTTTTCGCGCGCTGCGTCGGGAGCGGTGAGTACTCTCCAGGACTTCAAACGGTGAGCCACGCATTCTTTTCCGTCCGTCGAGTCCCGTCGCTC